ATATCATCTTGACCCCAATTCCACTGATATTCATTAGAACAACTTCGTAATCTTCTTAGAACAAAGCACTGCAGCTGCGCTTATGTTATTAGGGCCAATGGAAGTGGCTGTGGATTCGGTTGATCCCTGATCAAATAAACTGGACTTTCTTGCTAATAAGGTTTGTCTGAAAAATAAACTACTCTGCTATTATGTCTGTATGTGACCTAATGATCTAGTTAATCTAGATATCGTTCAGAATTATTAGAGTAAATTATTTCTTGACAGACTAAATACACGTTATTTTATCAATAAAAAGGTTAAATACCTGTTTATTAGTAAATTACGTGATCCAGAGGCTAAACATGTTATTTTATCGTGTTTACAATGATTACCAACAATACACTAAATTTCATGTTTGAAGTCCATGCTTAATGAAATGATGTGTATGATATTTAAAGGAATCTTGCGGAACTTTACTGGCCTTAAACTGTTTGGGCGTTTTCCTTTTCTTTTGATAGAAATTCTCTACAAAACAAAACTGTAAACAACGGTAAACTTAAATGTAAAATGTTTTGTTTGGCAAAGCCGCATATTTACTGCTATAAAGCTGCTAATTTATTAAATAAACATTATGGTGTAGGATCAATATTTTCAGAATACCAGTTTTTAAGTATAACTTGTAATTGCAACGAAGCAAAACTTATAAAAACTTTATTTAGACAACAACACGAACGATTGATATACTAAGCTAAATATGAACAGCAGATATTTAGTTTCACTGTCAATTATGGATTGATAAGCTTTTTGATGGTTAGAAACTAGGCCCTGTTGATCTTGAAAATTGGGCTTTTAACTAATGTTCTGGTTAAAGCAACAGATCTGGTCTTTGTCAGTAATTCAAAGCCATACGAAGCATCTCCACCACACGCACTCGTCTTTCATATATTACTTCATATTTGAGTAAAAAAAACGTCCAGCTGCGCTCCCATCCTACTTGGTTACTGTTTTACGTAATAGTGGAGTGGATACTGTGCTTATCGGATAGTTTAAAGGTATGTTGATTGATTGTGAGACAATACAACAGGTTTTGGGTACTTTTAATCTGGACCTAGCTGTACTTTCAATCATCGGGCTTCAAATATGTGATCGTGGCTAAAGAAGTAGCTTATGTTAGTTTGTAACAAAACTTCGCAAGACTTCTTACTATTTTACATTGCCTTTTCACCTTTTACTGATATTCAACTCAAAACACGTGGCTTTATGTTCCTGTTTTAATGCAATAATTATAACGTAAATCCGATTAGTTATAAAATATACTTGTATACCAAATTTTTCTCCATTTCAATAGAATATGCACAAAAATTGAAGCCTGGGGAAAAAGATTGTTTTTGCTCAAAATAATCAGAAAGGGAATCAGGAGACAAAAGCTTCCCTGTAAGCTGGTATAAACAAAGCTGGATCGTACCGGAGATCGATTTAATCCTACGGTGTGTATTACATGGAATATTTCTTTGTTTTAACCCGATTTTTGTGGTTGTTTCTGTTACTACTCATAAACTTTTTTGACGAATATTTTAGACTCTTATGACGCGTGTATTACTATTTGAGGTAACTCCTAGTTGAAGTATTGTTATAAGTAGATGCCTTAAATTCGTTGCTGTATCGTTTTAACAAAATACGATTTGTATGATATAAGAATGAGATAGAGTTTTAATAACATTATAGCTATTTTCCATTATATTTTGTATTACAATTATTTAAAATAAAAATACTTTTATCGAAATTTTTTAGATTACCAAGTTGTAATGCCAAGCTAGAATTAAATTATTAATTTAACTGTAGGAAGTTTCTAAATGTATCGTTGCAATCGCATATACCTTACTAAAGCCCTCATGTCCCCTTTTTAATATACAGTATAAGAAAATGCCTTGGGGTCAGGGATTTATTTTATGGAAATTAAAATAAAGTTCATGCTAGACAGTAAAGGTTTTTTACGGGTTTTCGTGGAGGGGAGGTTGTAAAAATCTCTATACAAAATGAATACTCCATCATTGGTCTGGGCCTTGATAAAGTAAAGATTAGATCCTAAGGAATTGAACAGAAATGAATCCCTGATAAAATGATATAAATATACTAGTAGCATTTTGGGTTATTTTTTACCTTATTCAGGATACTAGGGTTTACGTATGAAGATCTTACGTAAATTAGGGACCGGCAAGAGAACAATCTGTTGCTATAAAAATAAAAATTAAACCATCAACTAAATGCACAACAAATTGCAGAAGCCATTAGCCAATTGATCTTTTTTGGAAATTTTGTTTACCTTTCTTTTTACTTAAAGAAAGTATTTTTTTCCTAAGAAAGTCTATACAGAATTTTTCACGTATATAGTTAATTCTTTTACAATTCTAAGTAATTTTTCCACAAAATAAAATCATGGAACGGCAATAATAGTAAAAAAATACGTGTATGTGTACTTCTAAAAATATGGTGCAATTGAATAATTACTTTGAATATTTAACCTTTTTGTAACAACATTGCCGGATAAAGCTCGTGCTCAGTGTAGTCTCCCATAGTCTCGTCCTGCTGTAACATTTAACGCCAAACTGCTCTGGCATAAACCCAGCTAGTCCAGCTTGTTTTGTGATTAAACAACAGCGTTCCCGCTGAATATGTAGGTATTATAGCGCATTGCAACCGTGTAAGCATCGTTTTACTATATAGTTTGTCAGTTAGTTCTAGTTGTTATTAACAGAATGATCATAAAAAATGGAAAGCATAAAAATATATCGTTCATAGTTAAATATATTTTATGTTGAGTCATAGGCAAATATATTGCTATTTTACAAACTATTTTATAAAGTAAATACAGAATGGCAGTAAGTATATGTTTATATACCGTATGAATGCAAACGGGCTGGTAATAGTTATTTGTGCAACTAGTGAGTTGCACTCGAGTTACACATTATATTTTTTCTACAGTTACCATAAACCAAATAAATTGGAAAAGAAACGTGACATATTTTTACACAGAAGTGAACTTTTAATATGACATTTAATGCTGTGACAAATACAACAATACAACAGCTGACCAGCTGATTTACAGCCATCGTATTTCGCGCACATACAACCTTGTCTGCATGTTACGCGCTCACTATTTCGTGCCTTCACGTTGCAAATCTGGAGTAGGACAAAGTAATTAGAGTGAGACAATGTTAACATTGTCTCACTGATGAGCGAATTGACCACTTTGCTTTCTCAAATCAGTGAGAGAACATGTAGATTGTTAGGTAACTGTAGGAAAAATTATTTACGATTCAACCTAGCCATCTCATGTGCATATGCCATATAAATCTAGGTAACAAAACCCAAAAAATTATAAAATTTAAATAACAGTACTGTAAGATTTTCCCTAGACGTTGGACGTTGGATTGCTGCAAGTATAACCATCCTCAAATTGTAAACTTTGTAGGTGGTTTTAATGTATAAATCAAATCCGATAAGCTAGTGTTTACTTATAGCAATCGGATAATAGTCTTAGAACAAAACCTACTATCGCCTCGTGTAGTAGCAGTTGCGCCGAGTAGCATTTGCGCCGCGGATTAAATCGTGCTTCCAGCGCCGCGGAGTTTGATTAGTTCAATGATGCAGAAGTGACGAGGGTCATAATTACTTACACATTACTTGACTGAGTTGCTTGTAAATAGTGTCGTTTTCCATTCTCCTAATTAACTTGTACTAGTAGTGCACTGTTGCACAAAAAAATGAGGAAACACTTGTATACCACCACATGCAGTATTGAGTTAGTGTAGATATTTTTCCTGAGCTATAATTATTATTACTAGTAGATATTTTCTACTTATCACATTACTAATTTAGGAGAAAGGGGGACTTTTGTTTTCCTATGAAATTTTTAGAAAATAGTTGCACCAGGATAGTCTGCAGTGCTATGTGGAATGCAAACAGCTCGGCATATTGGTATTAGGGGGATTTGCTAGGGGTATATATCCCTATACCTTTCGTAGTAACCCACTCCCTTACCTAAAGTTACCTTTAGTTAAATTACCTTTGGTCACTTAATGGTGTTGTCATTGTCAGTTTTGAGTAGAATTTAGCAGAATGAACATCGTAGAATCCACAAAGAAGGGCTAAATTTTCAATCATTTCGTCTACTACAATTCTGTAGCCTACATTATATCATCGATATGTCGCACAATTGATAAGAATGCAACAATAAGCTACAATAAAACCTTTCTGAAACCTCTAACCGAATAAATGAATCGATAAATAAACCTGGTACAGAAACAAACTAGTTTTTTTCGTAATTTCCCCTCTTTTGAGTTATTGGTAATTAATTGGTTTTAGGTAGCCTTTATACTAAAACGGCGGAGTGTACTGTGTATTGTTGTCAACCAGTGAACAATATTTGCAGATATTTTTGGTGGCATCAATTTTGCAGTCATTAGATTTAAAATTATGTATGTGTAACCATTAGCACGGGTCACGAGGTGACTGCATGCAACCACTTTACGCTGAAAGTAAAATGTGGTAGGAACTACGTCCTCAATAATCATATTAGTGCAGTTGATTGGTTCCGCCTTTGTTAACCTGTCAAAACGTGTAACCCTCATTTAATAAGCTGGCGCGGCGCTGGTGCTACGCGGCGCAAATACTACTCGGCGCAAATACTACTCAACCCTATCGCCTATATCTTAGGTTGGAATGTTAATTTTATATTAAGCCTTCAAACATAAATTACACCTGGAACTAAAGATATTGTTGGGAAATATGCACTGTTCAACCTTGTTTGGTTATTACGACAAATCAGAAGAAACACAAGAGCCTTAATGCCTTATAATATGTTAAACAATATTTTATGAGGATCTTTAATGTTTTTGGTGTAAAATTACAAAAACAGGATATTTCATTGATAAATGTTTTTAAATATTATTTGTTTATTAAATTCTAATCTAGTTTGATAAAACTGGTTTGGTAATTGTGTATTTTTGTTGTTTCAGACTCGAGCCTGGCATTTAAAACTCTGACGCCCCAAACAATGTAAGTCAATTCGTATAAGTCAATATACGTCTTCTAGCTGAGCTGATATGGTACTTACATGATGAAATAAAGGTCACTCAATAGTTTTTATAATTATTAAAAAAATGACCCAATTATCCCTGATTTCAATCAATGATCTTGGCTGATATACGGCTGCTACAGAGTAACGAAGCTACTAAGTTTTTTTACTGATATGTTATTAAGTTAAAATATTCCTTAGTTGGGTCCCAATTAGACAAGATGTAATTATTATAATTTTACGTAAAAGTGTTAAGTTTTAGTATGTGAAATACTACTATGATAAATATTACATGACAAAGATTAGTGAGACAAGTATTATTATAATCGGCTCTATTGTGTTCGTGATAACTTATAACATACCACATTATTGCATAATTTTCTCATGCTCCTTTAGTTTGACTCTCCTAATCAGTTCACAATAAATATGCTAATTATACGTAAAAACAGTGTTAATCATTTCTAAATACAAAAAAGATAAAAAATAACACAAATGGTTTACCCTTTAATATCGGTAAAAATATACACTAAGTAATTTTCAGGCAAACCCATATACAGGATAACGCAGAAAGCTGTGGTTAAAGTTATGGTTTTACATTAAAAGTTACAGCCTAGTGATCAAGTGAATTTATTAGCAGATAATCCGTTTTATCGCATTCCACAACTGGACACCATTGGTAGATAAACCAAAACCTTGGTCTGGTGACGTCACAGACTGTATTGACCGGTCACGTGACCACGATGGTGGCGGTGAGGGGTGGCAATCGCAAGAACTAACCACCCTCTGCATAGTGCTGCTACCAAGCGGCGATTTCTGGGACTCTTCCCAATAATTGCAACGCATAAATAGCGCTTGGCTTTTCTATTTTCTTTCACACTTTACTGCTTTCATATTTAATGCTTGCGAAAATAAATTTTCATCTGTCAAAGACCGTTGGTTTAACTCTCTGTGAATACTTAAAAGTTTTGTTTTCATCCGAAAGCGGATATTTTTGTTTGACTGTCTAACTTATAATCAACGCTTCCATTATAAATCTTTTATTCCTTGCTGACGTTTCATTAGGGTCATCATTGTTTATTTATTTTACGCGTCTGTTTTACATTTATAACTTTGCTGTGTGTAGAGCAATATTTAGTAATCCCTCGACAAGTTTTTTTTACATCTGTGTAAATTAAAGTTTCATACCAAAACAGATTTTTGTTTTTACTTATATGAAAACTTTTGACCTAAAATAGGTTCATATTTTGATCAATTGTTTTAATCTGTATCGCCAATGTTTCATTTGATTATGAATTTTTCAGAATTACCAACCACATGATTTTAAGTAATTCCTGGCTATTAAATAAATATATACAACAGAACCTTGATTACGTTCTATATGAAAGCTCGTATGTGTTTATCTAGTTTTTAAGTCTGGTACACTTTTTATGGATGAACATTTGTTTTAGCTCTAAATTTAGTTTAAAACATTTATTTAACATTTTGTATTCGTGAAATCATAAAATGCGTAAATAAAAAAAACAGTTTTGATGTAACAAGGTTTATTGATGACAATTGAACTAAATGGGGGAAATTTGGGGTTAACAAAGGTTTTGATTACCTAATATATTGTTTTAGTAATGATACTTTAGGCAAGTAAATTTGACTTTTCAAGTTCGTGCATTTCCACTAATGGAGATTATACTTTAATTCATTCCCATGAGACAACATCCAAAATGTTGGTCCTATTCTTGGAATAAACTTTAGGTATGAACATTTTTAATACAATAACTTAAAAACTTTATGATAGCTTTTCCTTATAAGAAAACATTGTTAAGAAAACCCAGGTAAATTTGAAATATTTGCAAATAATACATCTACCATATAACTCTTTCTGTGCAGATATACAGTATTTTATGACAATTGTATGAATACAAGCTTATAAATGAAATGAAACAATTTCTTGGCAGTTTGACGTACAAATTAGAATTACGTTCAATCACGTACGCCCATAAATTAGACACTTTATCCGTTCCCTAACTATGTTTGTTATATTAACCGTTTTACATGACAAACTACCTTTGACCTGTGATATTCTTAATTTAACTCAGTGAATGATTATTTTATAAAACATTTATTTATTGAAAGGTTTTGATATCGTTTTAACGGATTTAATTGTTCTTAATTTTATAATTTGTTGTTGTTCATGTCAGTGTCTCTTTGTAAAGAAGAATCATTAACATTTGCAAGAGAACGGGGTATAAACCGCTCAATATTTTAGTCGACATGTCGGGCATCGAACCCGCACCTCTCGCATTGAAGTCTGAGACTCAACATACATCACAGGTGTTTAGGGCTTCATACGGTTTTGATTCGGTTCTTAAATCTTCACAATTTTGTAGCTGATTATCTTCCAAGGATTTATTTCTAATATAAAAATGGTTTATTTTACCTTTTTGCGTCAAACGATCCGTGTGCAGTTAGTACAACTACAGCTGTTTCATACCACTAGGGTACATCTTCAGGTTGTTGGTAGAACGTTAGATAAAACATCATTCATTCATAGATGAACTTGTTGAAATAAATAAGTCTACATACACGAGATACATAAAAAACATTTAAATAACACGAATTTACGTGACGCAACATCCATCTGTCTCGTGTGTTCGTCACTTGGCCAAGTTCGTAAATTCGTGTTATTTAAATGTTTTTTATGTATCTCGTGTATGTAGACTTATTTATTTCAACAAGTTCATCTATGAATGAATGATGTTTTATCTAACGTTCTACCAACAACCTGAAGATGTACCCTAGTGGTATGAAACAGCTGTAGTTGTACTAACTGCACACGGATCGTTTGACGCAAAAAGGTAAAATAAACCATTTTTATATTGCAATTTAAGATCCAGAGGCTTATCCACCATGAGATTTATTTCCGATCAATTCGAAACTTCTTCGTTTCCTGGTTATATTTTCTACATTCCCCCTCTTGAACTACCTCCGACCTGCGATATTTACCGAGAGGCAAGTAATTAAACGACATCGCTCGTATGACGTCATCACGGAGACATGTTTGATGTAAATCGACTAATTAAGTTGACTCCTCTCTTTCCAGCAAAGCTATGCAAATTCCATTTCACGTTCCCGCGGCGTTCTCCGCTCTGCAAGTCTGATTCTCTTGTCAGGAACGCGTCTTTAACTAACTTTAATACCTTCCCTAACTTGGCTTTTAAAATTACGCTTTGTTCGTTTCACCGGTTCCATTCAGAAAATGGAGTGTACACTACTCGGTAGTTGCTGCTCTTTCTGCATTCGTTTTGCCTTTTATTATTGTAGTAACGAGAGAGTATATACTTAGTAATAGACAGCTTACAAATGATTGAAGTCAGTTCCTTTTCGATAGTTTAGATTCGGAGATAATTTTTTTGTTTAACATTATTAATTTTGAAAAACTTGCTTGTTTTATAATATTTAAACATCTCCCAAATACCTTGTTAACCTGCTTGATATAGTTTTCACATACCCGGAAAGTAGTAATTAAAGATCTGAGAAATAACACTAGGTATTTGATGTTTTGAGACAGGACCAGACGTCCTCGTACAATTAACTCTTTTTAATGGTTCAGACTGAAGCAATAGTTGGTATTAATCAGTAACAACTGCGCAGTATACGCATATGTAAATACGTGTAATTAAAATTAGTATATATATGTTTGATGGCTAATAGACTATATTGTTAGAAGTTAAACTAACCTAATGTAAGTCTAAGTTATAAACATGTTAAACCACCGAAAATCTTCTGGACGTAGGTACCGTTAGACCTTTTTAAACTATTTATAGTAGGTAAGTGTAGCTATCGAATCTATATGACTTCTTGGAGGCAATCTTATATCTCTTCTATCTTATGTAGCATAGTGCTTAGGTTTAATTGGATAGTTGGATTAGGTTCAATTATGTTATGTAAGGCTCTAAATTATGTTAAACTAACAAATTACTGTTTATTTTCCGCAAATCGGAAATAACATAGTTTTACAATACTTTCCAGGTCTTTAAATAAATACGGGGACCTTCTATAAAAGATCTATGAGCTTTTGTCACTGCCGTTCTCGTACCAATATATTACTATGTTGTTATGTTTGTATTTTAATTTAGGATTACGCTGACTCTAAAACCTATATTTAACTTATTGTGATACAAATTTCAATATCTTACCGTAGGAGTATTCATCACTTCAATTTATTTACATTTTACATTTTATGAAAACAACAGCAATCGGAAAATCAAATCGCTGAGTGCACGTGTTAATAGATTACAGATTAAGTGTTGACTTAAAAAGAACTAGTGTTCCTGTTGCTCGAATTCGAGCAAATTCTAAGTATAAGAGGCGTTATTTTAAAAGGAATAACGGTCATAATTTCTGATGACTTCGACCCAAATATTATGGAAATATTCAAGATGTACATAACAGAATATACCAATTAATCCAGGCTCTCTCACTTTTTCCCATTGTAATATTTACGCCAACCCGAATTCAAATAGTAAATATTTCATTTCAACCAAGCCAGTAAATGTTTGTAGCAAACTGTAAAATTAGCAAACTTATTTACAGTTTAAAAGTAACATATTATGTTCTTCTTCTCACTTTTAATTTCTAATAACAGCTGGAGTTGCATAACAATTTTTGTTTCCCATGTTAATCTTATGGAGAAATACGAAACTTTAAAGGGCCCCAGGGCCTCACTCTCTGATGATTTCCCTAAAAAGAAAGTTGCCTGCACAACTTCACATTACGATCTTTCCAATGCCACCAAAAACATGTCAATCGGTTCAGTAGTTTCGGAGGAGTAATTGTCACAAAAAACCATCGATCTCTATTATTATAGAGATCGATGCAAAAAACATGCTTGCGTATTAAATATGTATAGATTATTTCTTCGCTCGGGTAAATCCCCGCTCTTCACAGTGGAAGATATCATTTGTAATGTTATGACAAACACAACTGG